AGTTGTATTCATTCACAGACTTAAAGTCTTGGAAGCATAAAAGCTGCCAATCATGTCTTGCTTCAAGCAAGTAAATGTTTTTTTTGGTGATCGAAGCGATCACAAGAGCAACCCAAAAGGTGCGAGAGTCCTCCTCAACGAGGTACTCGGTTTGCAGTGCATCATTGATGTGTGTTCAGATGATGATGATAACAATAGCTTTCTGAGCTTCGTCGACTAGGTCGTCGGTAGGTTCTTTGATGGTGGCTCAAATGCTCTTTGCAGTAAGATTAAGCTTCACGTCTTGAACCTACTTTGGGTGGTTTCTGCCATATACTTCCAAAGCAGTGAAATCGAGCTTGTTCAAGTTTGACATGTCCTAAAATAGAGGGTACAACAAAAGCATGGTTAGTCATATGGAAAACCATAGACATACATTGTAGAACATTCTGGTTTTATAAACATGTATTAGTTTATTTTAAGCATGAAAGTTACAGGTTTCATGTGGTAAGTTTTGAATGAAAATTTGGGTTTCAAAGGCGCTAAATTCGAAACTACAGGTTTGATTTAGTTATGAACATCTAGTTCATTTATAAGGGTACCTGTAAAATGCTAAAAAAAATAACATTAGATTCGAAAAAAAAGGGAGCCCAACGTAGTGGGCTAGAAGCTGTGTACATGACAAGGCCTTAAAGAGGTTCAATGGGCCACGGGTTGGCTGTAACAGCAGCCCAATCATGGTTGTAGGCCACGGGCCGGATCTGGGAAAGAACCTAGCAGCTAGGCTACTGGTTTTGGGCCTCAAAATGGCACATGGGTAACGAGATTGGTTAAAAATCCTATCTGAAATTACAAATAAAATTATTCTTTTATTATTTTATAAAATACAAGATACTAATATTTTATTGCCTATTGCCATGGCTATTCAGTTTATGGATGAATATGCAAAAGGTAATTACTGTTCATTAATACATTCAATGGAGGGGATTCAATTGCCAATTGCCATGGGGGCCTTCCTACACTAGAAGTGCTCTAATGAAAGTTGAGACAGTTTCGTAATTTCCATCCTCATACAACATAACCATAACTTATAAATTCTTTTTTTTTTTTTTTTTTTTAATAAAAAATGGGACCAGCTGGTGTCTTCATCCTGACATCCCACCCTTTAGCGGGTCGGGAAGACTCACAGAAGCATTTCAGCCTCCTTTGGCCACCATTATGCGATTCACTAGCATCATGAATCAAACTCAGGATTTGCCGTGTGGAATACATGCCTGAAATTTATCCCCATCCACAACTTATAAATTGAAATGAACAAAATTGTGAATGACTGAATGGCTAGGAAGGCTCTTAGAATCATATATACATTACCGCACTTGAACCACTTCATCTTCATTGCATGCTCCTACCTCAATGGCCATGGAGCCTTTCTTCTTTTTACTTGGCAAGATTCTGCAACAATTTCTTCTCCCATAACATATATTAACCTTAATAACCCCCCTCAAACTAAGGTTTTCGAAGGGAAAGTTTGTCTCAAAGACTGTTGAACCTGAGCTTTGGTAAAGCTTTGGTACATAAATCAGCAATTTGATCATGTGAACAGACAAAGTGAACAAAGGCTTCTTGTGCCAAAACCTTTTCACGAAAGTAATGGTAGCCAATTTCTACATGCTTGTTTGAGCATGAAAAAGAGGATTTTTAGCCAAAGAGACGGCTGAGATGTTATCACACCACAACGTAGAAGAATAAGGAAGTGTAAGACCAATATCAATCAGTTGCTTACAAATCCATGTGATTTCTACACCAGTGTTTGCCAATGAGTACCCTACTTTTGTAGAGGAACTGGCCACTGTTGGTTGCTGTTTAGCACTCCAACTGATATAGAATTTCTCAAAAATATGCAGAAACCACCAATTGATTTTCTATTTATAGAGTAGCCTGCCCTGGTCAACATCTGTAAAACCATTGGTGTAGGGAGTTATGGAGCATTTAAAAAACCAAAGACCAAGATCAATGGAGCCCTTGAGGTACCTTAATATTCGCTTAACTACTTGAAAGTGAGAAAATCATGGCTATGAATAAATTAGCAGACAATATTTACAATAAAGGATAAATATGGTCTAGTCCAAGTAAAATATTGTAAGGCGCCCACTAAGGATCTGTACTTTGCAGGATTTTCTAGAAGAGGAGAGTCATGATCTAATTTGGAGATTCTAAGAGGAGTGACACCCGGTTTTCATGGTCCATGTCTTGCCTTTTTCAGTAAATCTAGAATATACTTGGTTTAAGAGATAAAATTGCCTTTAGAAGATCTCTTCACTTCAAAACTAAGGAAATAATGCAATGAACCTAGGTCATTGGAAAGAAATAATGCATTAAGTTGAGTATAGCTTGCTTGCAAGCTTGAGATGAAAGACCAGTGACAAAAATGTCATCAACATAAACAAGAATGAAAACCAAAGTAGGATCCCTTTTGACAAAGATAGAGTGATCATACTGTGAGCCAATGAAACCAAGTGATAACATGCACTATCTAACTTCTCATACCAAGCTCTGGGAGTTTGTTTTAGTCTACATAAGGAATTGTGCAATTAATAGACATAAGTTAGTTTTGTAGAATCCTCAAAGCTAGGAGATTGTTGCATAAAGCCAGATTCTGTAAAAGAACCATGCAAGAAAGCATCGATGACATCAAGTTCGTTGAGAAACCAGTCATACTGAGCTCAAAATAAGAAAAGGCCTTATTGTCACAGGTTTTGCCCCAAGACTGAAGGTTTCAGTGGTAGTCAAATCCCTCTTGTTGGTAGAAAACCTTTTGCAACTACCTTTTCCTTGTACCTATCTATAAACCGATATGCCTTTCTCTTGATTCTGAAAACCATTTGCACCTTACAAGGTTCCAAGAAGGAGAAGAGGGAAACAAGTACCAAGTGCCTTTATTAAGCAGGGCATTGAATTCATCTTGCTTTGCTTGGTGCTAATGAGAGTGCTTGGAAACTTGAAGATAGGTAAATGGTACATAATTTAGACCAAGATGAGATGAAATATGATGTTAGTAATAGTGAAGGCTTTTAAAAATTCCAAATTTTGATCTGGTTTGCATTGGATGGACATTAGTAGAAGGAATGAAAGGTGGTAAAGGTTGTGGTGGAAATGGATGAATTATAGATGTTTGCATTAGTAGTGGCAGTAGAGGATGGTGATGATGGAGGAGATGATTGATGATGATTTCGTCAGTGAAAGTTGTACGAGAGTTGATAGAAAAAAGGTAAGATGAGATGGAATGGAAGAAAATGTGATGGGATAGGTGGTAGTGGAAGAACTTGAAAGCATTTGATGAAAAGGGAAACTGAATTCATCAAATACAACATGCCTATGGATATATAACTTGTTGGTAGTAAGATCAAGACACTTATAACTTTTGTGATTAAGGGTGTAACCCAAGAATACACGTAGTTTGTTTGTTTTTTTTTTAATCCAACTTGGAGGTAGTGTAGGGCTTTAACCAAGAAAAGCAACTTGGAGATAGTGAAGGCTTTGAACAGTCCCTCTACTAAAGGGACTAGAGCTCATCTCCATTGGAAGCACCAAGTCTTTACATTTAAGGAAATACAATGGTATGACTGTTTTTAGGACACCAATATGGATGCTCTTAAACCTCTAGAGCATAGGTTGGTTAGGTATAATATTAGGATAAATTATTTTTCATATCTGGGTCAAAGGCAAACAACAATAATAAATTATAATGAATCAAAATTATATGAGAGTTCGATTGCTATAAAATACTGACATTTATGATGACAGCAACAATCATTTCGTGTTCATGAAAACAAGCATTAATATGTCACGATAGTGTTTTTTTTGTCAAAGATTGAACTATGTGGCACTCTGAAGGGTATAATAGAGTAAGACTAATCCTTAGTGGGACCGAGAAAGACTAAAAGCATTTCAACTCACATCTGGTAACAATCCAATGGCACAGATAGGCCTGTAAACAGGTCGGGTTTATTGAGTTTGGGTTGAGTTCAATCCGACCTGTTAAGCTAACAGATCATCTGAACCCGACCCGTTAAGCTATCGGGTCATCCGAACCCAACCCGTTAAGCTAACGAATCACCCATTTCACCCATTAACAATTTTTATTTTTATTTTTTCCAATACAATTACACATTAACTATAAGGATGTATAAAAGGGTGCTGACTTGGATATCTAGTTTAGTTTTTGTTGCACATGAGAGCCTTCCGCAAGTGTTGACCCAAAGTCTGGCATCGACCTGCACATAAGCCTTCCGCAAGCGTTGCAAAGGTGGCAAGCCAATGAAGGTACTTCTAGGATGTTTGATGATATGTCCTTCTCTCAAACGTAATCAAGCATCCCTTCAAAACCTTCTGCATTTGCTGACTCATTTGATTCAAGGGATTGTCGATGATAAAAAAAGAAATAGACTATAACATTTTGGAACCAAGAAAAAGAATCTCGAAAGTTGGGATGAGGAAGATATGATCAAGTAAAGCAGTAGGTATCACAAGAAAAAGAAACTTAAACATCCTCAACTAACGGATGCTAACAGGTTGATCCAAAGTGATCCATTATTTAACGGGTTTATTGATTAACGACCTGACCCGTTAAGCATCTACCCAAATACTAATATTAACGGATCGAGTCGGGTCTCAAATGCCAGTCCTAGGCACAAATCATCCCAAAACTTTCAGCCAAGGAATCACATATGTTTTGACTAACCTCGTGCCTCAAACCACAAAGTAAACGTGACTTGAAAGTGTACCGTAATTTCACAAACGACTTGCAGTGGTTAAAATTTAGGCGTGATAATATAAAGTACTGCTTGTTAAAAATAAAATAAAAATAAAATAATTGAAGAAATTGGTTCGTTGCAAATTTACAATTAGATCCGACTCATTCAGCCTATTTTTCTCCACCGTTAGATTATCATACTAACATGTGAGTCAAAACCATCGGACCAGAAGGAAAGAATCGGAAGCTGTAGCAGCGCTTGCTCGTCACATCATTCTTTACACCGCCTTCTCTTTTATACGCAGCGGAGGTCCGAAGCTATCTCTGCTTTTCGTATTTCCCAAGCAAGTAAAGAAGCTCGCTCGCTCGCTCGCTCGCTCTTCTGGGTCTCTCAGAATGTCCATGTAGACCGCCAAAATCAACCCTCGCAGGTCGGTACCACCAATCCCCACTATAATTCTCTGTTTGGTTGCCCAGAAAACGACTTAAAAGAAACCCAGCATTACAAAGTTCAAAAATAGTTTTTTAGCTTTTTATTTGAAGGAATTTAAGAAAATTTCTGATCTTTGGAGACCAAATTGAAAGAAAGAGTTCATTGATTCATGGGTTTTGTCTTGTTTTTGGTTTATCTTGACTTTCTCAGCATCCAAACAGGGGTCTAGGATTAATGTACAAATGTGTAGTCAGCATTATTAAGCTTGAATCCATGCGTTATTACCTGAATTTCATTAGATTTTGACTGGGTTTTTGCATTTTGTTTCTATAATCACTATTAGTGATTTACTTTCTCTAATTTTCAACCCAAATTTGCAGATTAAGATGCCATGAGAGTTTTATTGGATTCAATCAGGTCCTCTTAAGCTTGTAGAGATCGAACAATGCCCTTATTATTGTAGCATATTCCGCTATACTAAGTTTTCGGTAATGGCTGGAGTTAGGCTTTCCATGTTGAAATCACTTCGCAATTCTACCCCTTGCTCTCTGAACTCGCAGTCGTTTCAGTCGTATACTTCTTATTGGAAAATTGTGAACTACACTGATCCGGGTTATATAAGACCAGCCTATGCTTTTGTAAATCGGAGTTACCATTCGAAGGAAACACAATCTCATAACACCTTTGCAAAGGCTCATTCTAGAGCATTGGGTTCTGAATCATTTGTCAATATCCAATCTTACAGTACGAAACGCATTTCAGCATTTTCATCTACATTGTCGAGTACACAGATTAGGGGTGCTACTCCACTGGTTTTGATAAACCCAATTTTTAGTAGCCGTTCATACTCATCATTTTTCGGTAGCAATGCTGATAAAACTGGGGAACCAGGACTCGGAGTTCCGGCTGCTTCTGGTGGAAGTGAAGTGGATGTTGGTAATAGTGGCATTGTTGGAAGTGACTGGGTTGGCAAGTTTAAGGATGCATGGCAGAGTGCATTGGATGTGGCAACTTTTACTGGACAGAAGGCTAAAGAAACCTCCACTGAACTGTCTCCTTATATTCAGCAGTTGCTGGATTCAAATCCACATCTTAGAAATGTGGTTGTTCCTGTTGGTTGTACTTTGGCAGGTACTATATTTGCTTGGTTTCTGATGCCGAGGCTTTTCAGGGGATTTCACAATTACGGAAATCAAGGGCGTGCTGCTTTGCTATCTGCAAGTCCATCTGAACAGCAAGTTCCATATGAGAAAAGTTTTTGGGGTGCTTTGGAGGACCCAGTGCGATATCTAGTTACGTTCATGGCATTTTCTCAAATGTTAGTGGTTCCAACTTCCAGTATATGCTTCATAATCATTTTTCTATTCACATTTATGCAGTTTCGTTTTCTACATTGTTAAATGATTAAAATGACTTTGATTTGCAGTGGCATGATGGTAGCACCAACCACTATAGCTGCGCAGTATCTTGCACCAGCATGGAGAGGTGCAGTTATCCTTTCATTTGTGTGGTTTCTACATCGATGGAAGACAAATGTGTTCACTCGTGCATTAACAACTCAAACTTTGCCTGGTCTTGATCGGGACAAGTTGCTAGCTATGGACAACATTTCATCCGTTGGTCTTTTTGTGATTGGGATAATGGCTTTAGCTGAGGCATGTGGGGTGGCTGTGCAATCAATTTTGACAGTTGGTGGCATAGGAGGTGAGGATTTGCTTCTGATTACATATTCTTTTCATCTCTATTTCATTCATGAAAGTTACAAAAGTTTGCCAGTAAGATTTTAAATTTGCTTTCTTTGTAATACTTATGTTGTTATAATATGTATAGATAGTTATTGGTTTTAGTTTGGACCTGAAGGTTGCATCTCTTGATTTTATGACAGCTACATATATGGATGCTTATTTTGGGATTGAACTGTTATTCAATTATTGCCATTAATATTATAAATACCTGAATTTTTCCCTGCTGCACTTAATGCAGGAGTTGCTACTGCATTTGCTGCCAGAGACATCCTTGGAAATGTTCTGAGTGGGTTGTCTATGCAGTTTTCAAAGCCGTTTTCACTTGGAGATACCATAAAAGTATGTTTCTATGTGTTTCTTGGTGCATTTCAGCTACTCGATTTCATTTGTCATTTTCATAGGCAAAGTTTTTTTAATTTTTTTTTTTCTTAAGCACCGATTTCCTGTAATCTAGTTAGAGAACTGTGCCTTGAGTGTCATCGTTTCTCCAAGTTTGAGCACCATAAGGAGATTAAGGAAATATTCAGGTTGTACGAATTACCTGTCAGCATGACCAAGATTTACATGGTTCAATTTTCTTTATTTGTTGACTGTTGCAGAATTGTGCAATCATTACAAGTATCGAGCATCTTTTAGTCGGCCCCTGGGTGGCTACATTGTACAGTGATCTCAACCCAACATTGAATAGAACAACACTTGTTTCTGAATGGTTAGCCATTTAGGAAATGAAGATTTAATAATCCTCATATGCAATTTAACTAGTTTTATGCTTGTTTCGTTCTAACTCTCTTTGCAAGTGTATAAATTATTAGCCAAACATAATCATAGATTTATTCATATAAGTAAAGGGATCTGTCGTTCATTGGGTAGACATTTACCGTCTAGTACTTGTTCCGACTCAATGATTTCTGGTATTTTGTGTGATATTTAATGTAGTATCTGCTTCCTCCTTTTGGTACTTTGTTTCTTCACGGTGTTAAAAGTGTACTTATTGCAGGCTGGATCTATTGAAGGTCAAGTGGTGGAAATGGGACTTACTACTACTTGTTTACTGAATGCCGAGAAGTTCCCTGTCCTAGTTCCTAATTCACTCTTTTCTAGTCAGGTTGGTGCTTTTCTATTTTTGGTATAACACTTAGAGATGGGCACCTATTATGCTGAAAACCATCAATCATTTAAGGTTGAAATGACCAAAGTTCATCGTACAAGTATAGCCGGGGTATGGATTAACCTTAAAATATCGGCTTGATCAACCCATTTAGACTGTTTTCTTTCGACAGTATCTCAGATAGTTTCATGTACATTTTGTAGGTAATTGTGAACAAGTCACGTGCGCAATGGCGTGCCATTGTCACCAAAATTCCCCTGCAAATTAATGATTTGGATAAGATTCCCCAGATATCAACTGATATAAAGAGCATGCTAAGGTCACACTCGAAGGTGTTCTTGGGAAGGGAGGCCCCTTACTGTTTCATGTCTCGTTTAGAAAGTTCATTTGCTGAATTGACTCTCGGATGTAACCTCAAACATATGGTAAGCCCTGTTCCCTTCAATATTCTTATTACACTGATTGGTTCAGCATATGCTTCAATGTTTGTTTTGTGATTATAGAGCAAAGGAGAGCTATACTCTACTGAAGAAGAGATTATCCTGCGCTCGGCTCAGATAATTAAGGAGCATGGTGCTAAGCTGGGCAGCACCTACCAGATATGACCACTCAGTAGCCTCGAAAATGGCATTTTGGAACTCTGCATTTGGTACATCTCTTTCAAGATATATTTGACTGTCATCTTACTGAGAAGAGTTTTTCATGAAAATATGAGTCACTACACCTCACACTAGTTTGTCATAGTTTTTATTGAGTTGCCAAGAAAGCTGAAAATAGGATCCATTGTGAAATATCCATTGCTATGTGGTCCGTGTAGAAACTTCGAAGCTGACTTTTTTTTGTTGACACGTCTCAACGTTAAACCTTTCGTTTTTACTCTTTGATTCAAGGTTAAACCTTTATTGTCTGTTTAAAAGATTATATGGGGTCATTATCCATTGTATGGCGGGTGGGATTGGACTGTTGCATAAATCAGGTTTCACAGGTTAAACAAAACATTATCATGCAAATTTCCCAGTGTCATTCCTATCCTTTGATACTACACATCATGTTCAATTCTGTCAAAATTGGTTGTACGTGTGGCACGTGATTAATGTCGGTCGAACATATTTTGCTTTGAAAGCTAGTTATGTGCGTGTAACGCCATTTATTTCAACTAAATTCTGTGTAAAGTTTGATATTAGGGACCAAATTGATGTGTAGTAACAATTTATCAAGGGATGAGGACGACATTGATGGAAATATCTTCGATAACTATTTACCATTGAATGATATAAGAATGAATGGCTGAGATTGAAAATAAAGATCTAAACAATTGCATAAATCAAATATAATAACTAAAACACTTGTAAATTGAAGTAACACCCGACTTTCATTTGGAACTTTTGGGACCAAATTGATGAGTTTTGCGTAGTACCAAGTGGCTTGTCATCAGGTTAACTTGCTTGCTTGTCCACAGTAACATCTACGACATCAATCAACAGTCGTAGACGACAGCCATTATTAGTTGAGCAAATAGTCATGAACTCTCAGCTACGAGATGGGCTATAATCAGCGTAAATAGACAAAATTACGATTGGTCAAGCCTTTTTCCCTTTACGTGCTCTCTTGGGAATTTTTTTTTTTTTTGGGGGTTTTAAAAACAGGGTTAAAAGCAAAAATCCAAACAAACCTACTCAATAATAAATTTAGATTGAGACATCCTAAGTTGATCCTCATGAATAAAATTAATTGAACAAGGAGTATCAGGATAAAAATTACCTAAATCTAGATCAACGTTATAGGTCGTTAAATTATCCGCCACAAAGTACTCTTTGTAGATATGTTGAAGTTCGCATTGCTAAGATCTTAAAAGCAATTCTTGGCAGGCCAAAACAAAGGGATCTAAAGAATGATTACATTTGAATCATATAATATAATACGGGAGAATCAACAGAAATAATTAAACATGTGTATAGAAAGTAAGAAAAAGTGTAGAAATTATTTCCTAAAAGAAAAGAAAGGAAAGAAAAAGTGGGTAAAGTGGGGGATGTAGACATCGAAATTTCGGTCAAATAAATGTTTACCAATACATTAAAGTTTCGACATGTCAGCGCATACGTGGCATGCGCCAGGTGTCTTCCAAATTGTACACATGAATGTGACCCATCAAAATCGAATTAGTCATCAAGAAAGCTATCACTACTTGGCAGAAAGAAATTATTTGATTTTAATTTAATTAAATCGAATATTAATTGACGGAGATAAATCACGAACCAGCCCACAAATCGAGTCCTGATTCTTTCATCAATTAATCAAGCCCACAATCAAGGCCAAATCTATCCATAGTCAAGGCTTGGAAAGTCTATAAATAGGAGGCTCCAAAACAAAGAAAGGGGTCCAAAAATCATTTCACGCCCAGACGCTGAAGCTTTAAAACTCTAAAGCTCTCAAGCATCCAAACACTCAAACACTCAAGTGGACTCGGAAAACCTTTCGTGTTCTTCGTCAAATCTTGTGAAGAACCACCAAGCACCCCTACACGTGCCGGTTCCTCCATTGCCAAGAGCCAAAACCTTGTGGCATTTGTTTATCCAAGATCAAGTCATTGCGACACTTGGATCAATAACCTACACATCACACATCTTTCAGAGATCGAATCAAAGGAAACTTGTAAACAGAGATTGTAACCCTACAAATTCATTAATACAAACATTTACTTTCTACACGTGTTCTTGTCTCATTTGTCACAGGATTTTCGTGTTTACAAATTTGCCATGCCCGGTGGGATATCTCTACCTCTCGTCTCTTTCTCCATTCAAGAAATCCAAGCACATTATAAACTTAATGGCATCAAAGAATGGACAAGCTATTCTTACAACCAAGGGAATGAGCATTAACACATTTACTGTAAGTAGAGAATCCATTGGTGTCATAACTTGAAGCAAGGCGATGGCGATCGCCATTCTTCAACATGCCACTTCAAAGTTGGTGTTGCTGAGGAATCAAGGGGAGCATCAAAGACATGAGCCCGTCATCAGCCTGGCCTCATTGGGCCCACTAAAGCATGTTGCTATGACACGTGTGAGGACACCTCAGAGTAGCAAGCAAGGTTCATTCACGTCAGAAAGTTCACGAAGCACTCCTTGTCATCAGCTTTGGACACAGACTCAAGCGTAGGATCTCGCCGCGAATTACCAACCAATAACCACCGCACGGAGACTTCGCCAGCACCTTCGATGTCTAGAGGAGAGTCACATTCTTTGGTTGCGCAAGTCATGACCACCAGCGCCACCTTCATTAAAGAGCAACTTGCACAAATGAACGAGGCAATCGTGAAGCTAACAAAGACTATCGAGGAAAAAGACGTGCAGATCGCTACAGTCATGAGTAGGTTGGAATCGCAGCATGATGGACTCTGATCCAAAGAAAAATCAACATGACGAGGAGTCTGGCGAGGAAGAGCGTATCATATCGACAAAGCGGGATGGAAACAAAAGCCAGAGTCCAAAGCCACATCAATGAGCTTTCTTTCCATCCAACAACTTCAAGACATTATCACAAACACCATCAAGGCACAATATAGAGGCACTTTAAGGGATGCACTGATGTACTCGAAGCCATACACCAAGATGATTGATAGCTTGCGGATGCCGACAGTGTACCAACCACCAAAGTTCATGTAGTTTGACGGAAAGGGAAACCCAAAGCAACACATCGCTCATTTCTTTGAAACTTGCAACAACGCTGAAACGGAGGGAGACTACCTCGTAAAGCAGTTTATCCATTATTTGAAGGAAAATAAGTTTGATTGGTACACAGACCTAGAGCCTGAGTCCATAAACAATTGGAAGCAGATGGAACGAGAATTCTTGAACCATTTTTACATCACCCATCGCACTGTCAACATAATGGAGCTTACAAATACAAAGCAGTAGAATGACGAGCCAGTCGTCAACTATATCAATCAATGGCGCTCACTGAGTCTCGACTGCAAAGATAGACTCTTGGAGATATCCTCGATTGAAATATAAATACAAAACATGCATTGGGGATTACACTATATCCTCTAAGGCATTAAGCCCTAGACCTTCGAAGAGTTGGCTACCCACGCCAATGACATGGAGTTGAGCATCGCCAATCGTGGAAAGAAAAAGCCGATTGCCAAAAATTCTTTGGGCATAAAAAGGACAAATCTATGAAGGAGCCTACCTAAGAAGCAATAGTGGTTAACACGGCTTCCATCAAAATCTCCACAAGAGACAAAAAGAAGGAGGTGAAGTGGAACGAACCTTTTCATGATCAAGGAGATCTACAAATGCACTTTGAAGAAGCTTAAGGAGAAGGCTTACCTGTTCCCCAATACTGATGTGGCTGCCATGTTAGAGGATTTGCTCGAGAAGAAAGTGATCAAGTTGCCCGAGTGTAAGGAGCCGGAAGAAATGAATCGAGTAAACGATTCAAAGTATTACAAGTACCATTGCGTCGTCAGTCATCCGATGGCAAAGTGCTTTGTTCTTAAGGAATTAATCATGAAGCTCGCTCAAGAAGGAAAGATTGAGCTAGACTTTGAAGAAGCGGCAATGGCAAATACGACAGGCGTCGTACTTGAACCCCTTGATCATGTGGCTTTCCTTGCATCGCCAATCATGTTATGGCCACAGTCGCCAAAGGTAAAGCCTAAAGTGGTTAATGCTGACAAAGCAAGCACCACTGACAAAAAAAGCTATCTCAAATGCGTTAACCTCATCGATAGCCCTTCAATTAATGATAACAAAGGATGGACGCTGGTGACCCTAAGGAAGGTGCATAAACCGCAACCACAAGTTGCTTGGGCAAGGAATGAGATACAAAAAGAAATTTCTCACTGCAACACTGAGAAAACCCATCCCAAAGCATCCACGAAGGTGACACAGGCAACGCATAAGAAAGAGTTTAAGATTCAAAAGTCGCGAACTTCTATGTTTGCTCGCATTGATGGTCAAGCTTAGACTCTCGTCTTCAATTGACTCAGTGAACCGGCCTCTCGAGGTTCTGTGTTTAACAGGTTGACCAACCTTGCTGGACAGGAAAACGCAACTAGTTTTCCCCCATGAAGGTTAGCTTTGGAGAAACTCAAATTGTAAATGAGCCTTATAGGGAAAAACAACTGATATTAGAAGGAAAGAGACTTGTAGATCTAGCCAAAGATGATAGAATTTGTGGTCTACCTTCATGCATGAAATGTTTTTCAACATTAGACGTGAGTTCGAATGGTCAGCTCAAGGTGAAACGACACACAATTATACACACTGGTCAATACTTGAGCCAACAAGCCGTCTACCATGTCACAGTTGAAGAGGCTGAGGGAGAAGATGTTAAGGAAGTTCCACCACTCGAGAACGGGGGCAAGCAACCATTAACTATTAAAGAAAGCTTCGCCACATTTAAAGCAATGCTACGCCTAAGAAAAAGACATGCTCATTGGCTCGCAAGAGCCTAAACTGCGTACGACACCAAAAAAAAAAAAAAGAAAAAAAAATGTTCATTGAGTTGAAAACCTGAAAGGGTGGCTCAAGCAAAAGTTAGGACACAAAAAAAAAAAAAAGGGGGTTTATTGAGTTAAAAACCTAGAAGGGCAGCTCAAGCAAAAGTTAGAACACAAAAACAAAACTAAAAAAAAGAAAAAACATACAAACATATTTGAACTATGTTATGACTTGTACTCTTTTTCGGAAGGATACGTAGGAAGCTCGAAAACGAAAGCTGAGGTCACATAAAAATGAAAAAATAAATAAATGTTCCAACCTTTGAGGCGAAGATGCAATATTAAGTCATCACTTTGAGACTAAGTCTTTAAAGTTGTGCAACTAAATCATAAGCAAGCCTTCCAATGTCTTCAATGCATCAGTGTCTTC